CAGACCCTTTACTTCATCATTCCACCAATCACTCCTCTTTCCTCCTGCCCCCACCCTCCTATAACCACAAACTTCTGCCCCACATTCTAATACTGCATTTTTAAAACTATTCCAACCCTCTTCAACCCCCCTACTACTCATCTTTGCACTAGCCCACCTTTCTGCCAATAGTCGCTTATATCTCACCCGAACTTCCTCCTCCCTTAGTTTATACACTTTCACCTCCCTCTTACTTGTTGTTGCCACCTTCCTCTTTTCCCATCTACCTCTTACTCTAACTGTAGCTACAACTAAATAATGATCTGGTATATCAGTTGCCCCTCTATAAACATGTACATTCTGGAGCCTACCCATCAACCTTTTATCCACCAATACATAATCTAATAAACTACTTTCATTACGTGCTACATCATACCTTGTATATTTATTTATCCTCTTTTTCATAAAATATGTATTACTTATTACCAAATCTCTTTCTACACATAGCTCAATTAAAGGCTCCCCATTTACATTTACCCCTGGCACCCCAAATTTACCTACTACTCCCTCCATAATATTTTTACCCACTTTAGCATTGAAATCCCCAACCACCATTACTCTCACACTTGATTCAAAACTCCCCACACATTCACTCAACATTTCCCAAAATCTCTCTCTCTCCTCTACACTTCTCTTCTCCAGGTGCATACACGCTTATTATAACCCACTTTTCACATCCAATCTTTATTTTACTCCACATAATCCTTGAATTAATACATTTATAGTCCTTCTTTTCCTGCCATAGCTTATCCTTCAACATTATTGCTACTCCTTCTTTAGCTCTAACTCTATTTGAAACCCCTGACCTAATCCCATTTATTCCTCTCCACTGAAACTCTCCCACCCCCTTCAGTTTTGTTTCACTTAAAGCCAGGACATCCAGCTTCTTCTCATTCATAACATCCACAATCATCTCTTTCTTATCATCTGCACAACATCCACGCACATTCAGACTTCCCACTTTGACAATTTTCTTCTTCTTATTCTTTTTAGTAATCTTTACAGGAAAAGGGGTTACTAGCCCATTGTTCCCGGCATTTTAGTTGACTTTTACAACACGCATGGCTTACGGAGGAAAGATTCTTATTCCACTTCCCCATGGGGGCCTTATTACACTCAGAAAATTGTCCTCTTTAATTTAAAAAAATATTCGGAGTGCTGGGCAAGAGACTGTAGATCTATGTTTTTATTTTTTTTTTTTAGTGAAGTTACATACCCTTCATGCCCCATTCCTCCCTCTGTCCTTTCCTAATGCTGGGTCAGCTTATTTATTTATTTATTTTATTTATTTATTATTATTTGGACATGATACATAGTTGTACAAAGAAATACAGTGGTTGAGTGTACATGCCAAAAGTCCCTTGTATGCAGAGCATTATGGGCAGTCTTAAAATTAACTTAAGATTAACTAAACAATGATATATTCAGTGGTAAAAATTACAGTAAACAAATTACAACATGAAGTACAAATGAGTATTTCAAATAAGAAGCTTTATAGTTGTACAAATTTGTAGCACAGTAGTTTATAATATAATCGGTCAAATTGAATAAAATCAACGATTTGTAGTGCAGAAACAGGTCATATGGTCATTTGATGAGTTACTGTGCATTCAAGAGAATTGAGTATTCTATTAGGTAATGTAATTCCGAATAACATAGTTTGATAGAGTCACAGGTTATACATTTATGAGATACAGTTATTCAGTATTTATTTAGTTGTGGGTGAGTGGTTTTTAAGAAGACTCTTGAATTGATAAACAGACAGTATTTTTTTTATATTCACAGGTAATGAATTCCAGATTTTTGGGCCTTTTATGTGCATTGCGTTTTTACATAGTGTGAGATGAACACGAGGAACATCAAAGAGTGATCTGTGTCTTGTGTTATGATCATGTGTTCTGTTGAGGTTGGTAAGGAGAAGTTTAGGGGGAGGGTTTATATCCGAGTTAAGTGTTCTGTGTATGTAGTAGGTACTTATGTGATGATGGGGCTTGAGTGGCTTGTGCCTAGGAGCAGGGGCCTCATTTGTGAGGGGTGCTACTCTCCCCATAGAGTGTTAGTCTGAATAAGAGCCCAGTGTTTCTTATGGTATAAATGGTGGGGATTTTTTTCCTTTCATCTAAATTTGCTGATGCTTTGTGGCTGTTGACACGGACAGAATTAGGGATAGGGATTGTTGAATTAAAAAAAAAATACTCCTTAGTATAGCACTTCTCATTAAAGTATGCCAAGTGGATACAAGTGGATATTGGCAGTTTGGAGGGATAGTTTTGTATCTTTTACATATAGGGGGCTTCTAAAAGTTGATTCTGACACCTCTGAAAAAGCAGGATAATTTGAGTGTGGTGAAAGTTTTTGAATGGATAAAAGTATTTTTTTTTTTTGGGGATTTTCTTCTTTTTTTGGGTCACCCTCCCTCGGTGGGAGCCCGATTGTTGAAAAAAAAAAAAAAAAAGGGGATATTTTAAATGTTTGAGGGAGACAACTTGTAGTGAGATTCTCAGAATTCCTAAGGCTACTTTTTAGTCTTAAATCCTTCTGGGCTTGTTTATGACAGATTTGAGTCGGGATTTTCCCTGTGTCATGTAGTCTTGATTTCTGAGTTTGCGGGATTTTGGCTAAAAACTGAATATAGGATGAGTAATTTTTTTTTTTTTTTTTTTTTAACAAGTGGGCCCGTCCCCCACCGAGGCGGGGTGACCCAAAAAGAAAAAACCCCCCCCCCCAAAAAGAAAATACTTTCTCATCTTCAACATTTTCCCCTCATCACACATAATCACTTTTTTTGCAGAGGGGCCAGAACACAACATTTAGAAGCATATACCTAAAAAGATACACAACATACCCCCCAAACTGCAAATCCTAACCCCTCCTTTAGGTGCAGGCTTGTACTTCCCCTTTCCAGGATGAAGTCCGGTTATATAAAAAAAAACCCTTTCCCTGAATTTTTTTTTTTTTTTTTTTTTTTTTTCAACAAGTCGGGTCTCCCACCGAGGCAGGGGGACCCAAAAAGAAAAAAAATCCCCCAAAAAAAAAAAACTTTCTATCATTTAACACTTTCACCACACCACACATTATCACTGCTTTTGCAGAGGGGCTCAGAATACAACGTTTAGAAAATTTTCGATAAAGAAACAAATACCCCCAAAATGCCCAAAATCCCAAAAACCACTCCTTTAAAGTGCAGGCATGTACTTTCCCCTTTCCAGGACTCAATCCGACTATAAAAAAATAACCGGTTTTTCCCTGAACCCCCTTCACTAAATCTTACCCTGCTCACACTCCAACAGATCGTCAGGCCCAAAAATACCTTTCGCTCCATTCACTCCTACGAAACGCTCATGCATCCCTGCTAAAAAGTCCAAGCCCCTCGCCCACAAAACCTCCCTACCCCTTCCTTCCAACCTTTTTGGGGACGACCCTACCCCCCTTCCTTCTCCTACAGATTTAAATGTCTCCATTCATTCTACTTTGACCCTTCTTTTAAAATGACCAAACCCCCTCAACAACCCCTCTTCAGCCCTCGACTAATATTTTTTTAAACTCCACATCTCCTTTTTTCCCACACTCCCGAATTTCTCATAATATTTGCACCACACGTTGCTTTAGACGGACATCTCCACTGCCTCCAACCGTTCCTCGCTGCTGCATTTACCACCCAAGCTTCACACCCATATAAGAGTGTTGATACTACTATACTTTTATACATTCCCTTCTTTGCCTCCATAGATAACGTTTTTTGACTCCACATATACCTCAACGCACCACTCACCTTTTTTCCCTCACAACCTATGTTTAAACCCACCTTCTAAACCCATCCCCCGACTCGTCAACTCCCAAGTAAGTTGCTGACAAAAAAACAATTGCACAATCATTGAATTACTTAAGGCAGGCTATCAAATGAAGGAAACAGCAGAAGCCATTGCTGTATGAGTGTTCAGTTCAGACCTGGTTAAATTATTTTGTTGAGGATAGTGTTAGTGAGATGCCAACAACAAAAGCACATTCCAGAGAAGCCTAGAAAAATGTCCCCACTAACGTTAACTGTAGTAATGTATTTAGAATTGCTCTGTGGATATGTGAGGTAATGGATCATCAACAGCAAAAGCCTTGTTGTCCAGGCAAGCACCAGACAAGTCTAGCCCAAAGCTGGATTGCTGGAGTAAGAAAACTCTCTTAAACCAGTTACTGGTCACTCCATCTCTTCCATTCCCTCTTTCATGCTATCCCTTCTACTGTTTCATTCACTTTACCCCCCTACCCCTCACTGTTGTTGTTGAAGGCAGTAAGTATGGGATGGTGATAATGAGGGAAGTGCAGGTACATGCTGTAGAGGGAAAGGAAGGATTTTGGTGGGATTATTCAGTACCTGGACACTTGGCAAAGAAAGTTGTAGTGTGGCTAAGCATATGCCTGGGTTACTGGTGTGGGAGGGAAGATTGTGTTAAATATTACAGGTACCTGGGCATGTGGTGGGGTGATGTGGCATGAGTAAGCTGAACTGTCAGCCTCAATTGCATGTAAGACACAATTGCCTCACCATGCAACAGATCAACACATTTAGAGTACTGACCAAACTGTAACAAACAGATGTGATCCTACCAAATGCAAAACATGAATATAGTACATAAAATATCAGTTAGCTGGACTTGAGTCCTGGAGGTGGGAAGTACAGTGCCTGCACTTTCAAGAAGGGGTTTGGGATACTGGCTGTTTTGAGTGACATCTAGACTGTCATATCTGGGCACCTTTGCAAAGACAGTGATTACGTGTGAATGATGATGAAAGTGCAGAATGATGGTGAAAGTGTTTTTCTTTTTTGGGTCACCCTGCTTCGGTGGGAGGCGGCCAGTGTGAGAAAAAAAAAAAGTACGTAAGTTAAAAATAATTTTTTTTTTCATGAACTATAGTATATTTCGTATTTACATTCACAATTACTAAATACAGTTCATTACCATCAGGACATACTTCCATGGAACATGCACAAAATGTAAGTACATTTGGTGAAAATTTGAAAGGAAAAGAATTTCTGGAAAAAATTCTATTTGAATGTTTGCAATGTTCATGTCTGCAGATTAGTATTCATAAATTAAAGTGCTCTAGCTGTAAGTGCAGATGCTTGTAATGGATGATTGTAAGTGTGGAATTGCTGTATTGACATTTACTGATACAGGTCCACAACCCTTTATCAGAAATTCTGAAATTGGAAATGTTCCGAAAACCGAAGGTTTTTCATGAAGTGCGGAGCATCAGTCATCTCAATGCTGGGTCAGGTTGCCACGTGGTGGCATTGAGAATCATTCTGAACTTTGAAAAATTCTGAAATTCAAACAATACTGGCCCCAAGGGTTTTGGATGAAGGGTTGTGGACCTGTAATGATTTGTAAACATTTGTATTAATAATGTTTCTTGTTATAATGACATTCCATAAGGAATGAAAAACTCTGAACATACATGTAATAATACAAAGATCCTATTCAAGATAATGAAAATAAACCATACCACAGGCGGAATTTGAACCCGCGGTCAGAGAGTCTCAAAAATCCAGACCGCAATCGTGTCATTACGATTTCGTGAGTAATGAAAATAATTGTATCCTGCAGGAAAACCTGGATAGATTGAGCAAGTGGAGTGGTAAATGGAGGATGGAATTTAACATTGAGATGTTGCATTTAGTAGAAATGAAAGTAAATATGGGTCACTTAAAGAGTATGCAATACTAAATTGCTATTTATAAAGGAGGTCTGCAGTTATTTGCTTGTATGTTTTTTTTATGTAAGTTGGTAAACCTCATACATAAATTTTACATTGCATTCTATATAAATTATACTGAAGACAAAACAAATGGCTTTTGGGACTTGATGAGCTGTTGGAGTGTGAGCAAGGTAATATTTTGTGAAGGGATTCAAGGAAACTGGCTAGCCAGAGTTGGGAAGTACAATGCCTTCACTCTAAAGGAGGAGTTTGGGATATTTGCTGTTTGGAAGGACATCTGAACTGTCAAATCTGCATGCCTCTGGCAAGACAGTGATAATGTCAATGATGGTGAAAGTGTTTCTTGTTCAGATTACCCTGCCTCGGTGGGAGATGACTAATGTGTTTAAAAAAAGCTTTTTCAATTATTATGTATGTACCTGCACAACCCTGAATCATAATTTTAATCTCTAGACTATATAATATTATTAAAAAAAATATCATGCTAATATGAACTTTTACAGGAAGGAATAGTGTTGTTATAAGCCTGTGTGTGTTAAAATTACGATTTTGATTTTATGGTTCACAGTGGAACCTCATTTTTCGGCGTTTATCGGCCAATTTGTATTTAGGCCGGTTTTTCGGCGGAAATTTTGCTCTGTATTTCGGCCATTGCCTTGTATATCGGCTGTATTAGGAAGCTGATGTGGCTTGTTTATTAAGTGCAACTATGAAATAAGCCACCATGGGCAGGGAGTGTAGCAGGCAGGCAGAGAGTGTAGCATGGAAGGAGGGAGTGTAGCAGGCATCAGGGAGTGTAGCATGGAGGGAGGGAGTGTAGCAGGGAGGCAGGGAGTGTAACAGGCATGGAGGGAGTGTAGCATGGAGGGAAGGAGTGTAGCAGGCATGCAGGGAGTATAGCAGGGAGGGAGGGAGTGTAGCAGGGAGGCAGGGAGTGTAGCAGGTGTGCAGGGAGTGTAGCATGGAGGGAGGGAGTGTAGCAGGGAGGCAGGAAGTGTAGCAGGCATGCAGGGAGTGTAGCATGGATGGAGGGAATGTAGCAGGAAGGCAGGGAGTGTAGCAGGCATGCAGGGAGCATAGCATGGAGGGAGTGAGTGTAGCAGGCATGCAGGGAGTGTAGCATGGAGGGAGTCTAGCAGGCATGCAGGGAGTGTAGCATAGAGGGAAGGAGTGTAGCAGGAAGGCAGGGAGTGTAGCAGGCATGCAGGGAGTGTAGCATGGAGGGAGGGAGTGTAGCAGGGAGGCAGGATTGTAGCAGGCATGCAGGGAATGTAGCATGGAGGGAGGGAGTGTAGCAGGGAGGCAGGGAGTGTGGCGGGGAACAAGGAGCGTGAAAGGGAGGCAGGGAGTGCAGCAGGCAAGCAGGGAAGTAACCCCAGAGAGGGCTTTGATACTTGAAGTCCTTAGGGAGGGGGATTCTCCTTCCAAACAATAATCAGTCCCCCTCTCTCCATAAGCCATAACCCAACAAGAGTCTTCAATAAAGGTATGTAATAGTGATTTAACCCTTTTAGGGTCCGTACCGTAGATCTACGGCTTTACGTTCTGGGTCTAAACCGTAGATCTACGCCTTGAGCTCGGCTCACTCTGATAAGCTGTGAGTGGTAAATTTGGGCCTAGATATGAGTGTGAGTGGTGCACTTAGGAGTCTGTGGAGACAAAGAACTTTGTCCTTGGAGGCAAAGAGGGAAATGTATGAGAGTATAGTTTTACCAACGCTCTTATATGGGTGTGAAGCATGGGTGATGAATGTTGCAGCGAGGAGAAGGCTGGAGGCAGTGGAGATGTCATGTCTGAGAGCAATGTGTGGTGTGAATACAATGCAGAGAATTCGTAGTTTGGAAGTTAGGAGGAGGTGCGGGATTACCAAAACTGTTGTCCAGAGGGCTGAGGAAGGGTTGTTGAGGTGGTTCGGACATGTAGAGAGAAGGGAAAGCGAAACAGAATAACTTCAAAGTGTATCAGTCTGTAGTGGAAGGAAGGCGGGTAGGGTCGGCCTAGGAAACGTTGGAGGGGGGGGGTAAAGGAGGTTTGTGTGCGAGGGGCTTGGACTTCCAGCAGGCATGCGTGAGCGTGTTTGATAGGAGTGAATGGAGACAAAGGGTTTTTTAATACTTGACGTGCTGTTGGAGTGTGAGCAAAGTAACATTTATGAAGGGGTTCAGGGAAACCGGACTTGAGTCCTGGAGATGGGAAGTACAGTGCCTGCACTCTGAAGGAGGGGTGTTAATGTTGCAGTTTAAAAACTGTAGTGTAAAGCACCCTTCTGGCAAGACAGTGATGGAGTGAATGATGGTGAAAGTTTTTCTTTTTCAGGCCACCCTGCCTTGGTGGGAATCGGCCAGTGTGATAATAAAAAAAAAAAATATGAGAGAATACATCTATGTGGTATGTGTGCACCACATAAAACAAATCCTGCAGCACACAGTGTATAATGAGAGAAAATAAACTGAGACCGTGATTTTCATTAAAACAGCGAATTTGCAGTGTTTTTTCATATGTTTTTTATAGTTGTATTTGCGATTTCTTGGTCTCATTTGATAGAATGGAAGACATATTGCAGAAATAAAGATGATTTTGATTGGTTTTCGCACTGAAAATGGCTTGAAACTGAGCTCAAAGTAGCGGAAATGTTAAATTTTTGCCGATGTTCAAGAGTAAACAAACGACCTCACACGTCTAATACACGCCAGCTGGTGGGTCTGATATATATTTACAAATGTGGTGATGATATTTATACAATTATTCCAATATTGCATAACAGTAAATCTTCTATTTTTTGGTTTGAATAAAAATTCTTTATGTGAATAAAAAATATAAATGGAATTCATTTGTAAAGCCTCAAAACATAACTAATGAACAGAGGAAATGTTAGTTTAGTGCCAGGAATACCTACATTGTTTATTCTGTGTTATTTATTTGTGTTAAATTGGCCAAATTACCAATTTCCGATCACTTTATTTTGTAGTTGAAACAGTTGACTTGGCGGTTTCTTGTGCTCAATCAATAGAATAGAAGTAATACTAGTGAAATAGCTAAGAAATTGGTCGACTGGAATAATGTAATTGGCCTAAAATGGGAGTCAAATTTGGCAAAATCGCCGATTTGTAAATATCGCTGTCTCATAAACACGCTAGATAACAGGGATATCTTGCTACTCCTACTTACACTTTGGTCACACTTCACAGACAGGGCACATGCATATATATATTTTACATACATCTGGGTTTTTTTCCTCCTTATTCTAAATGGGCTTTGTTTTTTTTTAATTTCTTCTATTGTCCATGGGGAAGTGGAAAAAAAAGGAATCTTTCCCCCTAAGCCTTGCGTGCCCGTATGAGGGGGACTAAAATGCCGGGAGCAATGGGCTATTAACCCCTTCCCCTGTATACATTTACAAAAAAAGAGAAGAAGAAAAACTTTATAAAAGGGGTTTTTTAAATTGCGGGATGTGTGGGGATGAAAAGAAACAGATGATTGCTGTGTTATGAATGAAAAGAAGTTGGATGCCCTGGCTCAAGCGAAACAAAGCTGAAGGGGGAAAAGGAGAGTTTCAGTGGGGGGAAATAAATGGGATTAAATTGGGGTACTGAGAGAGTTGAGAAAAGGAAAGGGGGGTGCAGTAATGTTAAATGACAGTTAGGGAAGGAGAAAAGAGAATATGAAGGAAAAATTCGAAAATTATGTGGATAAAGTAATTTGGATGTGAGAAGTGGGTCAAAATAAGCTGTATGCACCTGGAGAAGAGGGAAGCAGAGGAGAGAGAGAGTTTTTTGGGAGATGTTAAGTGAATGTATGGGGCCTTTTGAACAAGGGGGAGAGGAATTTTTGGTAGGGGCCGAATGCTAAAGTAGGAGAAACTTTTAGAGGGGGTGTGGTAGGTAAGTTTGGGGTGCAGGTTTGAAAATGTAATGGGACCCCTTTGTTTAAAATTTGTATAGAAAGGGGTTTTTATGGGTAAAAAATTTTTTAAGAAAAAAGAGGTAAATAAGTTACACGTATGATGTAGGGCGAATGACAGTGTTTTTTGGATTATGTTTTGGGTAGATAAAAACTGTTGAGTAGATTTTCAGGATGTAATGTTTTCGGGGACAGATATATCAGATCACTTTCTAGTTGTAGCTAAAATGAGAGTAAAAGGTAATGGGATACAAGGAGAATAGAATCGGGGGAAGAGAGGGGTAAAGGGTTTTAAACTAAAAGGGAGGCAGTTAGGGTAAGATTAAACAGCTATTGGAGGAAAATGGGCTAATGAGGCATAGGCAATGGGGGTCAAAGGGGAAATGGGTAGGGTTTAAAAATGTAGGTTGAGTGTTTTACAGAAGTTGTGGTTTTCAGGAAAATGGGTGCAGGGGGAAGAGGAGCGTTGGTGGAATGATGATGAAAAAGAGTAGTAAGGGAGAAAAAATTGATATAAAGTTTTTACAAAGTAGAAGTGATGAAGGGGGGGAAAAGTTTTTGGAGAAAAAGAGAGAGGTTAAGAGAGTGGGAAGCAATGTTTAAAAAAAGGGGCAAATGAAGAGTGGGTGAGATGTTTTCACCCAAAATTTTTTTGAAAATAAGAAAAAGTTTTTGGGTGAGATTAAAAGTTAAAGGAAAACCAGGAACAAAAGGATTTTTAGTTAAAAAAGGGAAAAGGGGATTATTTAAAAAGGGGAGTTAAGGTTTTGGGGAAAATGGAGGGGTATTTTGAGGAATTGTTAAAAAGTTGTGAAAATAGGGAAGCTGTGATTTCGTGTATAGGGGAAGGAGGAATAACTCTTGTGGATGAGGAAGAGCCATTTGGTGTGGGGGAAGTTCGTGAGGATGGAAAATGAAAGGGGGTAAGGCAGCCGGGATTGATGGGATAAAGATAGAAATGTTAAAAGAGGTGGGGATATAGTTTTTGGGGGTTGGTGCAATTTTTTTAAAAAAATGTATGGAAGAGGGAAGGTCCCTAGGGTTTGGCAGGGGCATGCATAGTTCCTTTGTAAAAGGCAAAGGGATAAAAGAGAGTGCAAAATTATAGGGGGATAAGTCTGTTGAGTGTCCCGGTAAAGTGTAGGGTAAGTTAAATTTTAAAAGAATTAAGGTAAAAAGGGAAAGGATAGCAATAACAAGGAGCTTTAGGAAAAAGGGTGGGGGGTGTGGGGACCAGGTGTTTACAGGGGAAACATATAAGTGAACAGTTTTTTAAAAAAGGCTAAAGAGGTTTTTGTGGCTTTATGGATTGGAAAAGGCGAAAGACAGGGTGTGGGGGGGCAATGTGGCAGATGTTGCAATGAAAGGGTGTAGGAGGTAGGTTCTGAAAGCAGGAAAGTTTTTACGAGGAATGAGGTCAATTAGAGTATGTAGAAAAGGGGGGAAATTTTTTCCCAGTAAAATACCTTAGAAAGGATGTTTTGATGTCACCGTGGTTTTTTAAATATATTTATAGAGGGGGTGTAAGAAATAATGCGAGGGTCTTGGGCAAGAGGCGTGGAGTTAAAAATAAAAAATCACACCAGGGGGGGGAGTTGTCACAGCTGCTCTTTGCTGAGGGACACTGTCCCTTTTGGGGGAAGATTTAAAAGAGAAGCGCAGAGATTGGTGGATGAATTTGGGGGGGTTGCAAAGAAAAAAATTAAAAGGGTGAATACAGGAAAGAGTAAGGGTTTTGAGGAAACAAAAAAGTTTGGGGATGAAAGATTTAATATCAGATTGGGGGAGAGAGTATGGGGGAGGTAACGTATTCAGATATTTGGGAGTGGACGGTCAGCGGGTGGGTTATGAAAGATGAGGTGAATCATAGAATTGATGGGGGAAAAAAAGAGTGAGTGGTGCACTTAGGAGTCTGTGGAGACAGAAAACTTTGTCCTTGGAGGCAAAAGGGGGAATGTATAAAGTATAGTTTTCCCAACCTCTTAATGGGTTGTGAAGCTTGGGTGATGAATGTTGCAGCGAGGAGAAGGCCTGGAGGCAGTGGAGATGTCATGTCTGAGGGCAATGTTGGTGTGAATAAAAATGCAAGAATTCGTAGTTTGGAAGTTAGGAGGAGGTGCGGGATTACCAAAACTGTTGTCCAGAGGGCTGAGGAAGGGTGTTGAGGTGGTTGGGACATGTAGAGAGAATGGAGCGAAACAGAATAACTTCAAGAGTGTATCAGTCTGTAGGGGAAAGGGAAGGCGGGGTAGGGGTCGGCCTAGGAAGGGTTGGAGGGGGGGGTAAAGGAGGTTTTGTGTGCGAGGGGCTTGGACTTCCAGCAGCATGCGTGAGCGTGTTTAATAGGAGTGAATGGAGACAAATGGTTTTTAATACTTGACGTGCTGTTGGAGTGTGAGCAAAGTAACATTTAATGAAGGGATTCAGGGAAACCGGCAGGCCGGACTTGAGTCCTGGAGATGGGAAGTACAGTGCCTGCACTCTGAAGGAGGGGTGTTAATGTTGCAGTTTAAAAACTGTAGTGTAAAGCACCCTTCTGGCAAGACAGTGATGGAGTGAATGATGGTGAAAGTTTTTCTTTTTCGGGCCACCCTGCCTTGGTGGGAATCGGCCAGTGTGATAATAATAAAAAAAAAAACATCAAAATTCGTGAGAGCATAATTTCGTCAATTTTCCATCAAATTTAGTACTTTTTGTTTTACTACTTTCAGAAAAAGATTCTCTACCATTTCATAAGAAAAAATAACAAAATTTTTTGGGGAAAATTCTTGGACCCTGGTGTGCACTTTGAAATTTGGCCTCTGGACCCTGAAAGGATTAAATGTTCATTTTTTTATTTTATTTAGTTCTCATTGTTTTGTGTATGTAAAACTATAATCTGTAAAAAATGTATTTTTTGTTAATATTTTTGGATGTCTGGAACGGATTAATTTTTTTTTTTTTTAACACATCGGCCGAATCCCGCCAAGGCAGGGTGGCCCAAAAAAAATAACTTTCATCATCATTCACTCCATCAATGTCTTGCCAGAATGGTGCTTTACACTATAGTTATAAAACTGCAACATTAACACCCCTCTTTCAGAGTGTAGACACTGTACTTCCCATCTCCAGGACTCAAGTCCAGCCTGCCAGTTTCCCTGTATCCCTTCATAAATATTACTTTGCTCACACTCCAACAGCACATCAAGGATTAAAAACCATTTGTCTCCATTCACTCCTATCAAATACGCTCACGCATGCTTACTGAGAGTCCAGTTCCCGCGCACACAAAACCTCCTTTACCCCCTCCCTCCAACTTTTCATAGGCCGACCCCTACCCTGCCTTCCCTCCACTACAGATTTATACACTTTCGTCGAAGTCATTCTGGTTTTGTTGTTAAAATTTCCTCTCTATTCATGTCCGACTCTCACTGGTTAGCGCTGCAAAAACCCCTTCCATATGGCCCTCTGATAATATTTTTGGTAATCTGTTAGGACCACCCTTATTTCAAACCTCAAATTGTCTCTGATTTTATTTCAAGAAAATACCATTGGCCTCGACATTTACTTCTCCCACCTGACCTCCAAAAGCTTCTTTTTCGATCCCATTGCATTCCACCATTAATTTGTATTTACTTTCTTTTATGGGCCATTATTGCTTTGATTTAAGGCCCGTTTATATTTTACCTAACCTTCTTAAGGATTACAGCCTGCGAATAACAAGGTTCTATCGTTAATTTCTAGGCATTTTGGTCTGTGTTTATATCCAGCATTAATGGTTTTGACTGCTTCTTTTTTGTTTTTGTATGAGTGTTTGGTGTGCGGGTAGGTTGGGTAGTACACTTTAAATTAATACATTTTATAAGGTGCATTTTTATGTACATTGTTAAATTTAACTCCAGTTACGAGGCTTATTACAAATGACAGTAAGTCAAATCGTGATAGTGAGTACAGCTCCCCCGTGTGTTTTACTGAAAATAAGCAACATGCCTTAATAACAAGGAGAGTGTTGTGCAAGTTGAAGTTAATAAGGCAACTTTTAACATGTTGGTTGCTTTATTTTATGATTGGCTAACATGAACTGTTTTTGGTTTTTCTTAATGCTAAAATTCAGTACTCTTTGAGTTTAAAGTATTGTGCAAAAAATCTCAATGTAACGACAACCTTTTGCCTTAAAAAGTTGTAAAAATTGTTTCAGATCCATACATCAACCGAACATGCCTTGCCTTCAATTCCCGTCAAAGGTAGATTGTCTCTCACGGGTTTAGTACCCTACCTATTGCAAGAAACCTGACCACTTGTAGTTTTTTTTGTCTTTCCGGGCATTATATCAGCTTTGGTTTGGTGGGGCCATAAATCAAGATCAGATACTAAGTCAAAAAAATCCCCCCCCAGTCCACAACCCCGTCCTACATTTTCTTTAAATCTGAAACATCTATTCACCTGGACTCCCAAAGGGGCAGGCTTTGTTTATGAATCCCACTAAGGGGGTTCTGAAAGCCAACCTCTCTTGACAATTTCCTCTAGACTTTTTGAAAATACATCCATCAGTGAAAGTGATCTGTAGTTCAGGGCATCCTGTGTGTCTCCTTTCTTAAATGTCAGGATACATGCCTTTATCTCAATGTCTGGGATCTGCCCATCTTCCACTCAGTATTTCTGCTCATTCCTTTAGTACCCATGGTGGCATTTTATCATTTGTCACTACTCTTGTTGTGTGTTATTCATTTAGTAGTTTTCCCTCTTTCTCTTTCATAGTTTGAAGAAATTCTAGGTTCTGCATTTATTCTACACTGATAATTCACCTTGTTCTACTCTGAATATTTCCTAACCCTCTCCTCATAGGACATAGCCTTTGCTCCAGGACTAGTCTTGTTGCAAACTGGTGTGTCCGTGCATGCGTAGTACTCTAGAATGCCTCACCAGTGAATCCCCTCAGTGGAGGAGTCTTGATGCTGGTGGGGGTGGGGTGGGGAGCCTGATCCAAGGAACTGGACTTAGCCTCCACTTCGTTGGATTGAACCTGAATGTACCTGATTAAAATAAACAAAAATTCTACAGTGAATCATCCTCTATAAAGGATATTCTTTACTCTTTAGGATGTTTATTGCAATACAATAAGCTACTTGTTTGTACGTAGTGCTACTGAACATTTATTTTTAAATTTTTTATTATAGTTTTGCTTCTCATAAACTTAACTAATTTTAAATTTTTGTTTATCTTTACTTATTGTGTTATTTATTTCTTAATGCTCCAAGGGAATATTAAAAAATCTTTAACAGAGAGCAGTTTGCCTATCATGAAATTTACAAGTGAAAGTACTTACACACCATTATCTCAACGCTCTGAAGATGTGCCTGCGAGAGTTGATAAAACATCAGAACTGTATGTAACTAGTGTCATCCCAGAGACTACCTCTCTAGCAACTCTTAATGGCTCAGTTACCAATTCTAGTTCTCAGAGTATTAGCCTTTTTAAAGATATAAAGGCTACAAATGATACACATGAGGCAAAGTTTTCTATAAGCCCTCCCCATAATATTACCTTTGGTAATGACGCTGGGTCTAGCAGTGCCGTAAAATATCTGGACAGTTTTAGCACAGATTCTTCAAGTTCAATCGCAGCTCAAGATCTACTTAATATTTCTCTTAATGATCATCTTGCAAATTTGAGTCATCCCAGTACCAAGAATGTTGAGCAGCATGCAACCACAAATGAAGGAAAATCCAAAACAATCCACGATGCTCAATCTTCTTGGAGCTCTGATCATCCCTCGACCATAAGTGATGCCCATCCCGTTACTACAACCTCTGTGATGTCACTTTCTGCCAGTGATGCTTCTCACACATCACCCAGAAATTCTACAAGGTTTACTGACTTCTCAAATGGTGTAAGCCTGACCATTTATAATTATTCATGTGAGTTATGTTGTGTGAGTGTGTAGCTGATGTGACTTTCTTTTCTGGGATAGCTTGCACCCTTAAATGGCATCTCTATTGTGTAGTTTACCTTGGCAGTGTGTGGTATGGCTTTTTACACATGATCATATAGGCATTGCACTGCACCAAGAGTCAGGTTGTGGTACTGGCTTGGCATAAATCATTATGAATTATGCTCATCCTTGTTACATGCTTTGTTTGATTTGTGTAGTTCTCTTATTGTTAAGTGTGTACATTTCTGGATTAATTAAATAGCTGTTTGATAAGTAAATGAGCAACAGTAGAATTCAGGAGCATAACTTACCCTGCCCATTTTTATTATCAAGAAGGAATTAGAAGGCATTGATCAAATGGTATTAGAAGGCATTGATCAAATGGTATTAGAAGTCATTGATCAAATGGTATTAGAAGGCATTGATCAAATGGTATTAGAAGGCATTGATCATTAGAACTTAGCCATACAGATTGCGAAAAGGACTTGGGGTTATGGTGAGTAGCAACTTTAAACCAAGACAGCAGTGCCTAAGCGTACGTATTAAGGCAAATAGATTACTGGGATTTATATCAAGAAGTGTAAGCAACAGAAGTCCAGAGGTCATACTGCAGCTTTATACATCATTAGTAAGGCCTCACCTAGATTATGCAGCTCAGTTCTGGTCTCCGTATTACAGAATGGACATAAATTCGTTAGAAAACATTCAGCGTAGGATGACTAAATTAATACATAGCATTAGAAATCTTCCTTATGAAGAAAGATTGAAGACTCTTAAATTACATTCACTTGTTAGACGAAGAATGAGGGGAGACCTGATCGAAGTGTATAAGTGGAAGATAGGTATTAATAAAGGGGATATTAATAAGGTCTTGAGGATATCTCTCCAAGAGAGAACCTGCAGTAATGGATTTAAATTAGGTAAGTTTAGATTTAGAAAGGACATAGGAAAGTATTGGTTTGGAAATAGGGTAGTTGATGAGTGGAACAGTCTACCTAGTTGGGTTATTGAGGCTAGGACTTTGGGTAGTTTCAAATTTAGGTTGGATAAATACATGAGTGAGAGGGGTTGGATTTGAGTGGGACTTGCACATCAGAGCTTATTTCTTGGGTAGCATTGAAAATTGTGTTGGGCAAATGTTTTGTTAGTGGGATGAATTGTAAAGGACCTGCCTAGTATGGGCCAACAGGCCTGCTGCAGTGATCCTCCTTTCTTATGTTCTTATGTTCTTAAATAACCTTGAGTGCTAGGTTAATTGATCTGAGTCCATAAGAAGAAAATGGCATTGTTTCCTTAAGTATCATCCTTCATTGCTTTCAATTTAATTTTTGTGATACATGTGTAGGTTGGTAGACAGCAACCACCCAGGGAAGTACTGTCCTACCAAATGAATGTGAGACAGAAACCTGTATTTATTTTACATGATGGAAGGAGGGCTGATGTCTTTTTTTTTTCTGTCTCATAAACACACAAGATAACAGGTATATCTTGCCGCTTTTACTTACACTTAGGTCACACTACACATGCATGTACATGTTTATGTATACACACTCATCTGAGTTTTTCTTTGATTTTATCTTTATAGTTTTTGTTCCTATTACTTTTCCTTTCATATCCATGGGGAAATGGAATAAGAATCTTTCCTCCATAAGCCATGTGTGTTGTAAAAGTCAACTAAAATGCCGTGAGCAATGGGCTAGTAACCCCTTTTTCCCATGCAGCTTAATAAATATTTTTTTATTTTTTTATTATCACACCGGCCGATTCCCACCAAGGCAGGGTGGCCCGAAAAAGAAAAACTTTCACCATCATTCACTCCATCACTGTCTTGCCAGAAGGGTGCTTTACACTACAGTTTTTAAACTGCAACATTAACACCCCTTAATAAATATGAGAAAAAAAAAAACATTAAAGTAGGATGTTTGAATGTGCGTGGATGTAGTGCGAATGATAAGAAAGAGATAATTGTGGATTTTATGAATGAAAAGAAGCTGGATGTCCTGGCTCTAAGTGAAGCAAACCTGAAGAGGGTAGGAGAGTTTCAGGGGGGGGGGGAATAAATGGGATTAGTTCAGGGGTTTCTAACAGAGTTAGAGTTAAGGAAGGAGTAGCAATAATGTTGAAGAATAAGGGTTAGTAATAAAGTTGGTAGAATTACCGACAATATGTAAAGTAAAAGGACACAAGTGCAACTAATGTGACATTTTATTGTGGCAATGTTTCGCTCTCCAGGAGCTTTATTAAGCCATTACAAACAATACATGGACACAGAGGGTATATAAAGGCTCAGAGTGAGGTGCAATACTAGTGAGGTACCATTTCGATGTTCACTAGTGGTAGTAGTAGTAGTGACAAAAGTAATACAATATGGTAGAGCAATTAATTCGTACATGAGTAAAAGCTATTACTTGGGTAACATAAAAATAGGTTGGACAAATATAGACTGGAAAGAGGCAGCTTGTTTCAGTGTTCACTCTCTGTAATGTGCTTTGTGTAGTATAACAGGAGAGACTATGTGATGGCAGGGTTTACTGTTTTCAGGAGGATTCTTGCTAAGACTTCGGAGATTGTGAAGCTGCCGTTGTTTTGTTTAATTGTATTTGAAACAGCGATCAGTGCTGATTCGAGGCACTTGCGTCTGCGGAAATTAGTTTCTTTGATCACTAATTGGGCGTCTCTGAATTTCATGAGATGATTGGTGGAATTTCGGTGTTGTACACAGGCGTTGTTCAAGTTATCGTTCCTACATGAGTAAATGTGTTCATTGAGGCGGGTGTCGAGGTTTCTTGCTGTTTCACCTATGTAAATCTTGTCACAGCCTCCACAGGGTATAGTGTAAACTCCTGCATTAACTGGTTCGTGGTGCTTGGATTTTGTCCTGGTTAGCACTTCAATAAAGGATCTAACCAGGACAAAATCTAAGCACCACGAACCAGTCAATGCAGGAGTTTACACTATACCCTGTGGAGGCTGTGACAAGATTTACGTAGGTGAAACAGCAAGAAACCTCGACACCCGCCTCAATGAACACATTTACGCATGTAGGAACGATAACTTAGTGTACACACCGAAATTCCACCAATCATCTCATGAAATTCAGAGACGCCCAATTAGTGATCAAAGAAACTAATTTCCACAGACGCAAGTGCCTCGAATCAGCACTGATCGCTGTTTCGAATACAATTAAACAAAACAACGGCAGCTTCACCATCTCCGAAGTCTTAGCAAGAATCCTCCTGAAAACAGTAAACCCTGCCATCACATAGTCTCTCCTGTTATACTACACAAAGCACATTACAGAGAGTGAACACTGAAACAAGCTGCCTCTTTCCAGTCTATATTTGTCCAACCTATTTTTATGTTACCCAAGTAATAGCTTTTACTCATGTACGAATTAATTGCTCTACCATATTGTATTACTTTCGTCACTACTACTACTACTACTACCACTAGTGAACATCGAAATGGTACCTCACTAGTATTGCACCTCACTCTGTGCCTTTATATACCCTCTGTGTCCATGTATTGTTTGTAATGGCTTGATAAAGCTCCTGGAGAGCGAAACATTGCCACAATAAAATGTCAAATTAGTTGCACTTGTGTCCTTTTACTTTACACAATAAGGGTTAGTGTGAAAAGTGGGTTATTGTAAGTGTTTAAGCACCTGGAGAAGAGAGAAGTGTAGAAAAGAGAGAGATCTTTGGAAATGTTGAGTGAGTGTGTGGGGAGTTTTGAACCAAGTGAGGGTACTTGTGGTTGGGGACCTAAATGCTAAAGTGGGTAAAAATATACGTGAATGGTATACAATACCGACAAGTTGAAAAATTTAAACGTGCAATATCTGGGTATCTTTATTGTAGACATTTTGCCAACCAGTGGCTTTATCAATACAAATTCTAGGACATGATGTATGTATAATGTTTGCCAAGATTTGAAGACAGTAGAACTATATACAAAAGATGAAGTAATCAGTCCCTCAGCCTTAAAGTTGGTGTTAAGAGCACCGTAGACATGAAGATTCTGGACCACAGGCAAGAAGGTTGCTGCTTTTATAGGCGAAAGATGGAGAGCATAGTCACTGGTAGGCAGGAATTCCCAGTGGAAGTTGGTCATACCCGAGACACGTGTTAGTGGTGGTGGTAGTAGTCGAAGTAGTAGTAGCAGCTGTGAAGAGGTAATATGGATGTCCTCTGAACCAAGATTCCATGATGATGTGGTGTCTGACAAGTTGTACGTGAACGGTATACAATACTGACAAGTTGAAAAATTTAGACACATGTAACTTGTCGGTATTGTATACCATTCATATACAACTTGTCAGACACTGCAACTTCATGGAATCTTGGTTCAGAGGACATCCACATTACTTCTTCACAGCAGCTGCTACTGCTGCTGCTGCTGCTGCCGCCGCTGCCGCTGCTACTGCTGCTGCCGCTGCTGCCGCTGCTGCCGCTGCTGCCACTGCCACTGCCACTAACTCATGCCTCGGGTATGACCTACGTACTTCCACTGGGGATTCCCGCCTACCAGTGACTATGCCCTCCATCTTTTGCCAGTATAAAAGCAGCAACCTTCTTGCCTGTGGTCCAGAATCTTCATGACTACAGTGCTTTTAACACCAACTTTAAGGCTGAGGGACTGATCACTTCATCTTTTGTATATAGTTCTACTGTCTTCACATCTTGGCAAACATTATACATACATCATGTCCTAGAATTTGTATTGATGAAGCCACTGGTTGGTGAAACTTCTACAATGAAGATACCCAGATGTTGCACATGTGTGGGTAAAAATGTTGTAGAGGGAGTAGTTGGTAAATTTGGAGTGCCAGGGGTAAATGAAAATGGGGGACTTTTAATTAAACTGTGTTGAAAGAGGTTTGGTAATAAGTAATACATATTTTATGAAAAAGAGAATAAGCATACAAGATATGATATAGCACGTAATGAAAGTAGTTTGTTAGATTATGTATTGGTGGATAAAAGA